TGTTTTGTTATATATATATAATTTTTTGATAATTCTACTTTAATACTTTTATAACAGTATATATATATATATATATATATACTATTATAAAAGTATTAAAGTAGAATTATCAAAAAATTAGTAATATACGATATTTTACACTTTATTTTGACATATTTTAACATAAAATACAAAATAGTATAAATTATTAATTAATTAATAACCATAAGCCTGTTCTTTTTGATTGAACTTTTGCACCAGTTCATTTTTCTTCCTCTTCTTTCTTCTTGGAGAGAAAAAGAAGAAAGATGAACTGGTGCAAAAATTCAACCAAAAAAAACAAATCTCATATCTTAATATTTTTATGCATGTATAGAATAATTAAATGAATCATTTGATATAACAAAGTATACAGTTACGTTAGGCCAGAACAAAATCTCATAAATAATTAATTTTTTTACTAACTCTAATTTCATATTTTTACAATAATTATAGTATATGCAAAATATACTTACATCAATGTTCATATCTATTGTCTTTTTTTTCTTAATAGTGAAAAATTTCTTAATAGAAAAAAAGGGCAATATACGCAATCGACATGAACAAAAGGCAGTGCCCAGAATTACAAATCTTGAACACAACATTGAAGTAACAAAATCATATTATGTAAAAAAATCTTAGTTTTATTTTTTTTTAGTAACGTTAATTTTCATCTTAAAAAGTTGATTTTTTCAGAAATTGATTTTTCCTTATTTGTTTCTCTGTAAACTTTCTATAATTATTTTTTTCTTGTATTTTCTTATTTTTGTATTTTTCTTAATTTTCAAAATAGCTCTACATTTAGATCAGTTTTCATTTAGACAATAAAATACCTCGCCGTATAATCAACTTATTATTAATTAATGATTCGGATATTGACATGGATTTGAATGTTAATTATTTCGTCTGCATAGACCGCTATTAATATACATACAATAATATATATATATATAATAATAATAATAATAATAATAATAATAACAGTTATTTTATGGTATACATAATAATAATAATTTGTTTTTTTAGGTGGCATGGCTGCGTGTCGATACGCAAACTATTTTGACGATAGCAACCCACGTGATCACGAAGAATCACAGGATCGCGGTTTCCCACAGTGACCACCGAACGTGGTTTCTTCACATACGGGAAGTACGGGAGTCCGATCGAGGCTGGTACATGTGTCAAATAAACACGGATCCCATGAAAAGTCAGATTGGTTATCTCGAAGTGGTCGGTGAGTAAAGAAACTGCATTGACTCTTCCTCCGTTAACGAACTGCAATCATTTTGATTATTTCTGTCGTTCTCATCTCATAGAAAGATTTCCACAGGATATTGATAGTATTACATATTTTGTTACTCTTCATTGACCCAGACCAGGCAAAGACTGATATAATTTATTGTCTTTTCGGTTTATATTATTACGTTTTCTCATTTATTTATTACTTTTGCTATCTAACTGTATTAACAAAAAATAGAAGCGTTATTGAAATAATGGACTTGAAATAAAATCGCCTTTATTTCCTCACGATATCAATTCTCGTCCACCGCTCCGTTGTTATCATAGCTCACTCGTCCTCGACCGCTAGATATTCAATTAACGCCACAAGAAGCTGATATCGAAGAAGAGAACGCGATGCGCCGATTGAATATCAGCGTGATATTACAATTGGAATGCGCACGAATATAATGCATTTGTTGAAAAGGTAGCACACTCAATCGGAATCAGAAATCCGCCAAACCAATGAGAACTTCTGGGCAATGCAAGTTAGTCTGCTGGCCTCTTGGCTGGTACAACTTACAAAGTGGCTCTTGCCGCAGTTCGAAGACTGCTGCGAGTACTCCCGAACTGCAAAGCTTTAGTCGTACGTCGCTGCTCGAATGCACTCGCAAGTAGATTATACAGCAATGCTAATAGGAGACCGCTTTCATCGGTTCCGTCGCGTCGTTAAGACTTCGTTTCGGGTACCACCGGACGATTCGCCCTTCTTCCTCTCTTTTACTCTTCGTTCGTGTTACGGTATCATAATCTCTTTTCCCTCCTTCCCTCGTTTATCATCTACACTATGCCGTGTCTCATTCATTCTCTTCTCTTCTCTTCGTCCAATTTAAAAAAGTTCCTCAAACCTTGGTTTTGTTATTTTCATCGTATTACATTAATGATGAAATCTGCCATTGCCAAAACGACCGTTCACTATTTAAGGTTTGAGTATGCCAAGCTTAATCCTTGCGTACATCGTGCGCGAGTAAGTGGCAATTTCCATAGATAATGTTACTCGTAATTGTACGGAAATAGGATGATGCGTCGGAGATACTACGATTGCAGTAGTGTGCGTGCATGAGCATGCAGAATGTATCCAAGTTCGAGCTCGACTATGCACATTAAATAGCATGGTTACTGTTGGTGTAATATTGAATGAAATAGCAACGTATATTTCTTATATGCAAAATGAATTATTCATTTGAGACTCGTAAATATTGCGATTATTTTTTATAAGTCTCATCTTTACTGATTTATGCTAAATAACTTACACAGTTAAAAATATTTTGTACTTGTATTAAAATCGGTTTTCATTAAAAATCTTTGTGTTGATTTTTAAATATCTGAGTGGTAATTTAACGTAATATGATTATGTTATTTAAATATTTTATTAAATTGATACTTAATTAAAATTTTTTAGTGTTAAAATAACACCATTTATGAGTAAATGAACAAATAAAAGTAAATTGTAAGATAAGTGAATAAAATACATGTCAATTTAATATATATGGATAGTTTGATAAGTTTTGAGTCTGGACATGAAAATGGCAGGTCAAAAACTGTTGTAAAGTGTAAAAACGCGTCTTTTTAATGGCTGCTCTAAAATTTTCAATCATATATGACTCTTACAATCAGTTTTGTTTTGATGTCAGTTGAGAAAACTTGTGCTACGTAATAGCTGCCACATTTGCTGACATTGGACCGAAAAGGTGTGTTTGGACCGGTTCAAGAGAGATACAAAGGATTTCTTGCGTGATTGTTGACGAAACATGAATCCACTACTACATGTGTGAAAGCAAAGAACAATCATCTGCTCCGAAGAAGGCGAAGACGTTCCATTCGGAATGAAGAGATTAGAAAAGAGATGGACCAAGTATATTGAGCTAAAAGGAAGCTATATTGAAAAATAAAACCGATTTTGCCCAAAAATATGTTTCAATGTCAGGCTCAAAATTTACCGAAGTATCCACGTACTATAAATGTTAATTTCATTGAAGAAATATACTTCCACAATTTATTGTCAAAATGTCACATTTTTATGTTAAATTTTACGTAATATTTGTGTTACATTTTAATATATAATATTTATTTTGTTTTAAACCAACAAACCAAAATTTGAAACTATTTGGAACATGTGATAAATTGGACACGAATATTTACTATCTATATACTTTATTCGGATACGTAATATAACAGGAATAAACAGATACATGCAATGAAAAAAAGTCTTGTTGCATTAATTGAAATTCTGTTAGATTTGATCAGAAAGATATAAATTAGACACTATAATTAAATGTATGTACACTTACAGATAACCAAAAATTCAATTATGATAACCAGAATTCCATTTAATATGATCAGAATCATTCGTTTTGTTTGTATTTCTTATTGATATAACCAGAACAGTTTTCTCAGTGTGATTATTTATTTTATTATTAAAGAAGAAGAAGAGTTTGTTATAATGCGTTTGACATTCTGCGGGAAAGCGCAAAATTCTATCTCTTTATTTAATAACGGAAAGAAGAAAACTCGTATTATATATCATACAATATTACAGTAAAGCACATCGTAGTTATTGAAGTAAAATATAAGTATCCGTGCTCTTTTCTCGAGATTCTCTTATCGGCGATGCGGGCGATTCAAAACTCATTATTTCTCCAATCTTTTTCGCATGCTTCAAAAGTCGGCAAAAGAAAGGTTTTTCTCTTCTTTTCTCTCTTTCTTTTACTCCCTTCTCTCTCTTTTCTCCTCCCCCCCCCTCTTTCTCTCTCTCTCTCTTTCTGCATCTGAAATATCCTCACGAGTTATACTTTCTTTAATGGCTTCTCAACATTCATCTGCAAAATCTATATCTGTTCATCGATATAATAATTAAATAAGCTAATGCAATAACGATATGAAGCAACTCGATTCGTAAAATCACCGAAGCAGCAACGCGGAATTCGCAGAAGCAAATGCAAAGATCATTATTCAAATATTACGCATATTATAACGTGATGTATCTATCGAAGCAAATGGATACGTAATATAAACATTTTCGCATTCTCTCTTGAAGGGAAGCACTCAGATGAGACCGGACTGGCTTCCGGTCGCGATGTAAGGTTCGTTGCTCCCGTAGCGTTTGTTGTATACTTTACGGTCTTCCGGCACGGTCTTCTGCCGTTTCGAAATCAAATTGGCATTCTCGAGATACGGCCAGACTCTCGCATCCCATCTGTAGCAATCTAATCCCGTGCTCCAGGGTCCGTTGCAGCTTCACCGGTGGCACGGCGCAGCGGAGGCAGTGACGGCGGCGGCGGCGCACAAGTTCTCACGCGCGTCGACCTGACCTGACCCTCTTTCCCAGGTTCAAATCGACGGACGGGGCGCGTATAGCCGGCTGGCTACTTACTGGGAACTTCGTCTCCCTCGTGAGATCATTCTGCATTCCCTCACCCTCTCGGCTCGTCCGACTGAAGTAGGTAGTCCCCGGCAAATGTACCTCGTCGCACCACCGCGTTTTCTATTTTAACGGCGCGGCACAACTCGCGGGAGTGCTACGTCGTCGCGGTCTTACGTTGCTTAAGAAATCTCCCCCGCGAGTAAGTAGGCTATGAAGGTTAGATCGGGGTTGAACCGATTTTCCTTCGGGAATTCACTCTTATACGGCATGGAGCGCCTCCGGTTATATATCTGGTAGCGCTATATTCAATGGGATCATGTAAAATGAATGATAGAAAATGTAACAAAAATTTAATATTTGTTCATGGAAAGAACAATTTTTCTAAAGTATTCTAAAGCATTTAAAAATTTAACTGATCTGAAAATACAGATCTGAAAATAATTTTATAGAAGACTCTCAAATTGACAATATCAAAGCTTTTTTATAGTATTGTCATTAATGCTTGAAATTTATATGTGATTATATGACGATTCAACAAAATATTTTCAGATTTGCATCTAGCTGTCAATTTTTAGATTTTTTAGCAAAATTCTTTCCATGTACTCGGTGTGCTAGTCGAGAAGAATAATTCTGTTAAAGTATCTAAAAATTTAGCTATAGATACAAATCTAAAAATAATTTTATTGGTTCATTAAAATAATTACGTAATTGTAAAGTATTCAAATCACACACAAATCACATTATCCAAGGAATATCCTGAAAATGTTATTAGGACGTAAAATGGGCTCTGAACATCTTTAGGAAGTTTCTTGGATCTACGTTGTATGAGACTGATTAGTAAAAATGTCAAAGCATTTTGCAATATTGTTTATCATGGTTGAGATTCCTACATAATTATTCTGATGACAAAATTATTTTCACATCTAACTAAACTTTTAGATACTTCAATAAAATAATTTTTTCCGTATAATAATAATTAACGCCGTATTCAATGGGATCTTGCAGACCGAATGATAGCAAATGTAACGAAAATGTGACGTTTGTTTGTGTGATTTTTAGTTAGCAATATTACTATAATCTTAGAGTGGCCATAGAAAGCTATTTCTTAGTAATTTAAATAATTCTTATCCTTAAACATTTTTTATATTTGACGATTTTATCAGCTAAATTCTGCTAAATTAATCCAACGCACTTCAGAATTTAGTTAAAGTAGAAAATGTATGGACAAAGAAGTTACTATTGGACGATCTCATCCTGCACTTATGTAACTTACTATAATTATTACTATAATTATTACAATTCTAATGTCAGAATTTATAGAACTGCATATTCATTAATCGCATTTAGGTCAGCTTTAAGAGGAAACCTCAAATACACTTGAGAAATCTTCTCGAGTGTAGGAAAGAGAGTGGCTGGCAGTATATCATGAGTACACAAGAGGAAACTGATTTTCGGCAGAGAAGGTTCTTCGTCTATAATTAGAAATTTTAATTTAAATAAATGCTAAACATGTCGATCTTTTATTTTGATTAAAGGAGTATGTTTTATACTATTTAAATCTTTTTTTTTTATCTACTCATATTATTTAATAT